ACAGACACCAGTGCCATGCATGCCCACAGTGCCACCCCGCACGGTGCCGTGCCCTCACCTGAGCTTGAAGACGTGTTTCTTCTTCTTGTAGCCCGCGGGCACCTCGCAGCGGGCGTCCCACAGCCCCAGGGGCTCCTCACCCTGGCACGGCAGCCCCAGCGCGCGGCTCTTGGCATCCTTGAAGAAGGCGAGCTGGCCGCCTCGCAGGACGCAGTACCGCGTGCTCCACGACCTGCACCGGCACCGTGTCACCCCGGGGACACCGCCCCGCTGGGGACACCGCCCCGCTGGGGACACCGTGCTCGCCACCACCGCTGCTGTGCCTACCGGTTGGATGCGCGCTTGGTGGCCGCCTCCAGGTCGTGCTTGCGGCCGAGGTAGCCCTCCAGTTGGACACTGCTGACACGGGCGGGCAGCGTGGCTGGCTCCTCCGGCTCCTCCCGCGGTGGCCGTGGGGTCGGTGACACCGGCTCCTCGTCACCTGTCCTCGGTGCCAGCTGTTGCGAGGCAACAGCGCGGTTATGCCGCAGTGTCACCCACCCACTGCCACCGATGGACCCACGGCAAGGTGTTGTCCCCTCCCCTGGTGGCACTGGGCACACGGGGTGCTGTCACCAGTGGGTCATGGACCTCAGTTTGGTGGCCTGGGGGTGGCTCACCCCCAGGTCCCCCTACCAGTGACATCACCAGCTCTGGAATGTGGGAACTGGTGTCTACTGGGAAGACCCCAGTGAGTGGCTGGATGCCAATGACCTCACCAGTTCCGACAGGTGGGAACTGGTGACTGCTGGGACAACCACTCAGCATCCTCATCCCAGATGTGATCCCCCAGTGAGTGTCTGGGATCCTGCAGTGAGTCCAGCCCTGGACCCTCCGCACAGTGCCAGTGACCCTGCCAGATCCAGGGAGTGGGAACTGATGGTTATTGGGAAGACCTCAGTGAGGATCTGGGATGTGGTCCAGCCCTGGGACTCAGTGCAGTTTGCAATGTGTGTGTGTGTCCACATGTCCAGCTCCAGTGTGCAGGAATTGGTGGCTATTGGGAAGACCTCAGTGAGCAGCTGGGACATGGTCCAGCCTTAGGACCCTCAGATTTCGGTGCCAGTGACCCCACCAGCTCCAGTATGTGGGAACTGGTGGGTACTGGGAAGACCCCAACAATCAGCTGGGACTCTCAGCACAGTGCCAATGAAGCCACCAGCTCCAGTACACACAAACTGGTGGCCACTGGGAGGACCCCAGTGAGCGGCTGGGACATGGGCCAGCCCTGGCACTCCCCAGTCTCAGTGCCAGTGTCTCCTCAGATTTGGGATGATGAGGTCGAACCAAGCTAGATGAGAAGTCCTGGGAGCCACCTCAGTGTAGTCACCAGCCCAGGGGACATGGGGACAGTGGGAGGTCTGGTTGGGGACCGTGGCATCAGTGCCATCATCTCAAGGCACCAGTGGTGCCTGATGAAGGGGACACTCATCCAGCTGTGTGCCACAGGAGGGGCTTGGCCATGGCCCCTGTCCCCAAGGAGCCAGGAGATGCCCATGTACCCAGGCAGGCAGTGATCTTGCCCTGACACGTGTAGTCAGGGGTCTTGTCCCAAAGCAGGCGAATGTGATCTTGTTCCCAGGGAGGCAGGAGATGTCCCAGGTAGAGGGGGCTCTTTTTCCCAAGCAGGGGAAGTGTCTGTGTTGCTGAGCAGGCAAAGACCACCCTGTCCCCAAGGAGCCAGAAGATTCCCATGTCCCCAAGAACGCAGAGCAGGACCCTGTCCCTGAAGAGATGCCCATGTCCCCAAGCCAGCAGAAATGTTCTTGTCCCCAAGTAGGTTCTCAAGGATCCTGTCCCCACACAGGCGAAAGTGATCTGGTCCCCAGGGATCCAGAGGACGGCCATGTTCCCGAGCAGGCTGGCAGTAAGCAGAGAGCACTCCTGTCCCCAAGCAGTTGAAAGTGGCCATGTCCCCAAGCAGGCAGAGAGGATCCTGTTCCTTAGGAGCCAGAAGATGCGCATGTCGCTGTGCTGGCAGAAATGATCCTGCCCCAAGGAGCCAGGAGATGCCCATGTCCCCAAGCAGGCAGAAGAGGCAGAAGGGGTTTCTGTCCCCGAGGAGCCAGAGGATGCCCATGTCCCTGAGTAGGCTGGCAGCAAGTAGAGAGGGCTACTGTCCCCAAGCTGATGAAAGTGGCCATGTCCCTAAGCAGGCTGAGTGGTACACTCTCCCTGAGTAGCCAGAACTCCATGTCCCTGATCAGGCACAAATGAGCTTGTTCCCATGCAGGCACTCAAGGATCCTGTCCCCAGGCAGGGGAGAATGATCTGGTCCCTGCAGAGCCAGGAGATGCCCATGTCCCTAAGCAGACAGAAGAGGCAGAAGGGGTTCCTGTCCCCAAGCAGGCAGAGCCACAGACAGCCATCGTGTCCCTGCGCAGGCAGAGCATGTGGGAGGAGCAGAGAGCTGGCAGCGAGCACAGGAGCTGGCACACGGTAACAACGCCCTGTAGGTGACGATGCCCGCCTCGAAGGGTGACAATGCTGCAGGATGTAACGATGCCCCAGAGGGTGACAGTGCCCCATGGGGTGACAATGCTCCATATGGTGATTGTGTCTCTTGGGGTGACGATGCTCCACGGGGTGACAATGACCCACAGGGTGAAAATTCCCTGCAGAGTGCCGATGTCCTGCACGGTTCCAATGAAGTCCCACAGGGTGACGACGCCCCGCAGGATACTGATGTCCCATACAGCAATGATGTCCCTTGGGGTGACACGGTGGCCCCAGGGCAGACACTCCAGCTCTGGCTGCTGCACGGATCCCAGACACACGCATACACCATGGGTGCCACCCCCCATGTCACCCCAGGAGTTGGGGCAAAGGGGACCTGCAGTGCCCCTCTGCCCACCCGGCCTTTTTGGGGTAATTCAACATTTATTCAACACAAGGCAAGGACAAGGTGAAGGCTGGGAATGTGGGGATCTGTCAACACAGTGAGGTCATGGTCACGGGGAGTGCCAGGAGCTGTGGGACATGCAGGGACATCTTTTTGGTCGTCAGGGAAGGTAAAAGCTAAATTCAAGAACTGACCGGCTCTGGTCCATCCGTAGTGGGCAGCGAAGTGTCCTGTGTGCTCACATCCTTCTTCTCCTCCTCTTCCTCCTCCTCCTCGGACCTGCACAGGGAGACAGTCAGTCAGCATCCCTATCCTAGACGTGATCCCACAGGGATGGGGCTGGCTGCTGCTCTCCTGTACCCCCTGAGGGATGAAAGCCCTGTTAGGGTGAGGCTTGACCTTCATCTCTCCTCTTCATCAGCATCAATTTATGGCTTGGAAAAGGCAAATTGCTAAAAAGCCCCTTAATGCTAAAAAATATCCTTAATGGTTTGAGAAGAGAGGTGTGGAAACAGTGTCGCTGGTCACATGGAGTGATGGTGGCATCCCTTACCCGGCCTCTAGCTCCCCATCCAGATCCAGGCAGTAGTCAGGAGCTTCGGAGCGCATTGTTCCGTCCCGCACCAGCCCCTCACGCAGAGACCGCCCACCCAGGAGCTCCAGCTGCCAGGCAAAGAGTGAAGGTGTTAAGGGATGGGGGAGAGACTGTGGCAGGGCAGACAGAGTCTTCCTCATTGTTTCTCATCCCGAGCCTTTCTCACCGTTGTCAGCTTCCTGAGGGCAGCAATGCGCTCCTCCCAAGTGGCGGAGGACTTCTCAAAAGCTTCGTGCCGCTTCAGCAGCTTCTCCACCGCATCCACCGTCTGCCCATAGTCACTGCTGGCCAGGTAGGGCTCCTGAGCCATGAGCCATGACTCGGCCACCGAGGCGTCGCGGGAGAACTGGCACACCTCCAGCACTGTGGGAGGGATGGGCAGCGCTCAGCCCCTGGACCACCCGCCCCCGGCACTGCCGCACTCCTCCCCGGCACCCCCAGCACACTCACGCAGCCGCAGCCGCTCCCAGCGCTGCTCCCACGTCTCCATCATGGCTTTCCTCTTGTCCACCAGCTCCACCAGCTTCACCTTGATCTGTGAGAGGATGCTGTTAGGGGGTGGCCCAGATGGCATCACCCCCACCGCCCCCCATCCCCGATTCCCTCACCTCTGGTGAGTCCTGGTGCTTGCGCTGCAGCAGCTTCTTGCCCAGCTCGATGCAGTTGGTGAAGTTCTTGCCCCGAGCATCCACCTCAGCCTTAATTCCCTGGTGGTATTTCATCAGCAGCTCCACCGAGGAGACATCCCTGAGGACACAGAGGCAGCAGGGTCAGTGGTGCCATTGGTTTCATGTCCCATCCCAGGTGCCTGCTGGGTGCATCCATACCTGGGTTTCTCCTGTGTCTCAATCTGCCGGACAGTGCTCTCCATCCAGGAGAGCAGATCCCGTGCCATGCTGAAGAAGCGGTGCTTGTCAGCTGTGTCCGTCAGCCGTGCCCGGCGCCCGCTGCACGCTTCCAGCAGTTCCTGCAGTGCTCGGGACACCTCCTGCTCCTGCTCCTGGATTCCAGCCGCCTTCTCCCCGGCATAGGCGGTCTGCAGGCGTGCTGCCGTCTCCCGAAACTGCTGCACCTGCACAAACCACAGAACGGCTTGGGTTGGAAGAGACCTCAAAGACCATTGAGCCCAGCCTCCCACCATGGGTAGGGATGCCTTCCACAAGACCACAGAGAATGCTGAGCATCCACATCAGGTTGGAGCCTCACCTGTGCCTCCAGCAGCTGGAGGTCCCTCTCAAAGGCGCTGTGCATGCGGTGGAAAGCCTCCACTGTGCCGGCATCTTCACCCAGATCCTGGGGCAGCTCCTGGCGCCGGGTGGCGATGAGGGCCAGCAGCTCGGCACCGTCGTAGAAGTATTTGTGGAGGTCATGGGAGGCGGCAAGGAGCTGCATGCGGGTGTCGATCAGCTCCAGGAGGTCAGCCCAACTCTCGTTCAGCCCGTCCTTCCACTCAGCTATGGTGGCCGCCTCGATGTGCCCCGCGTCAATGAGGTCCTCAATGGTCAGGTTCACCCGGTCCACGCGCTCCTGCCCCACACTCCCTGTCTCCCGCGCAAACTCACGGAATTTCTCCCGCAGGAGCTGCATGGAGGGAAAAGAAGAGTCAAGTCGCTCCCCTCAAGCCACCCGCCCGCACCGCCACATCCACCCCATCACCCTCACCATGACATGGTCCAGGTCTTGCCCCATCTCCGGGGAGGAAGCAACCACATCGCGCTCGGCAATCCACTGCTCCAGCTCTTCCACCTCCCGCTTCAGCTGGAAGAGGTGGGACATGTTCTCCAGGCGCCGGCGGCGCTCCTCGGCCGCCTCCTTCAGCCCCGCGTAGTGCTTGTCCACCTGGCCCTGCAGCCGGATGATCTGCTCCCTGCGCGGCCCCGGCACACAGACACCCAGTTCTCACCCATGAAAAAATGTCCCCAACCCACCCGAGTTGACATCCGGGGGGGTTGGGGGTGAAGGACCCGCTCTGTGCTCCCCATATCCCTCTCCGACCACCTCCCTGCCCACCTGGAGCAGCTGACACTGCCAGAGCTCCAGCCAAACCCCCCACCCATGGGGTGCTGAGGGCATGGGGTCACCCCAAAGGACAGGGGACACATAGCGTGGCACCTACCCCTCGGGGTGGCCGGCAGAGAGCAGCTGCTGTGCCCTCCCTGCCAGCTCCTTGATGGTTTGTCCGTAGTCCTCGATGGAGCGCAGCTGCCGGACATGTCTCTTCAGCATCATCAAGCAGCTCTCCTCATCCTAGGGCATGGAAAACATCAGTGTCATCAGCACCTGGCATGGTTGGGGGACAGGGACTAGGGTCTAGACTCAGTGCCTGCCCTATGGAATGTCCTGGCTCTGTCTGATGCCACAGGGAGCCATGGGATGGTTGGTGTGTAATGGCACGGGAGTGACACATAAGAACAGGACACACCATGGTGTGTCACATGTGGATGATGTTCAACAGAACAACGTGGCACCGCCTGGGTCCATACTGGACATCCCAGCAAGGCATGGCCCAGTGCAGCACAGACCCCACAAATACGGAGCGTTACATGGGATCCTCACCTTTGGTTTCTCCTCAGGTCCCATGAAGAGCTCCTGCTCGCTGACCCAGGCCTCGGCCTCATCAGCATCCATGTAGTACTGCTGGGCCTCTTCGGCCTCCCGCAGGCGCTGGTGCCGGGCGGCCGCCTCCTCCTGCAGCGTCTCCCACAGCGCCCGCAGCTCCTGTGCCTGAGCCGCCAGCTCCGGGCCTGGCTCCTCACCGCTCCCCGCTGCCTCTCCCCGGTTCAGCACCTCACCCAGGCGGGGGGCATGGCCCGCCAGCTCCTTCTGCAGTGTCTGCCAGCAGGAAGGAAGTCCCAGTGAGGGTCACCCATGGGATGGACCCCGAGGGACCACCCGGGACGGTGGCTGTTGCTGCAGTACCCAGGCTCACCTCATTCCTCTTGGTCAGGCGCTGCACGCTTGGGAGGTCGGTGCCATGATCCGTTGACCTCGCCAGGGAAAGCCGCTCCTGCACCCATAGCTGGGGGAAGGAGCACCCACTGAGCCCTCTGCAGCACCCATGGGTACCCCCAGGCCCCCGGCGCCTGCCACAGCAAGGACACTCACCGTCTCATCCTCCAGATCCCGCCCCAGCTGGTACATGGCCTTAGCAGTCTCCAGCTCCTTCCTCTTCCTCTCCAGTGGCTCCAGCAGCTCAAGGACTCGCTGCCGGAGCATCTGCTCCTGCCTGGTGGTATCTGGCACATCCCCAGCACCAGGGGTGCCCTGCCGCCCCAGTTCCTCCAGCTCCTTCATCCATGTTTTCACTTGCTCTTCCAGTCTCTGGCGAGGCAAATCCATGTGAGTGAGGGATCTGAGCCAAAATGGAGAACCCAAATCCCATCTGGGAACAAACATCATTGCCATGGACCTCCTGCCCCTTCCCGAAGAACCCAGTGAGGTGCCAGTACCCACCGTCAACCTCTTCAGCAGCAGGTTGGTGGCGGTGAGGTCCTTGACCTTCTCGGCATGGCGCAGCTCCTCCTGCGCCCGCCCCAGCCAGCTCTCCAGCTCCCCATAGCTCCGGGCGTACAGAGCCGAGCGCTCAGCCTCAAACAGTTGCCGGCCCTTGTCCTCGGCAGCGCTGCTCAGCTCGGCCCAGCGCCGGCGCAGCTCCTCCAGCCGCTGCGTCACCACCGCGCCGTACTGCGGCTTGCGCGTGGCCAGCTCCGTCCCCTCCTGTGGCAACAGCGGAGAGGTGGGTGGTCACTGAGGCATGGGCACCTCCCACCCATGCAGCAGGCTGGGAGCATTCCAGAGTCCTGGAATTGTTAAGGTTGGAAGACACCTCTCAGGCTGTAGAGTCCACCCATCCCCCCAGAACTGCCAAGGCCACCACTAACCTGTGTCCCCAGATGCCATGTTCACAGAGCTTTTAAATCCCTCCAGGGATGGGGATTCTACTACTGCCATGGGTAGTCTGTGCCATGTAGGCTGCACAACCCTTTCCCTGAAGAAATTTTCCCTGATATCAAATCAAAACCTCCCCTGGTGCAACCTGAGGCTGTTTCCTCTTGTCCTTTCCCTTGTTTCCTGGGAGCAGAGCCCAAACCCCAGCTGGCTGCACCCTCCTGTCAGGGAGTTGTAGAGAGCAAGAAGGTCCTCCTTGAGCCTCCTTTTCTCCAGGCTGAGCCTCCCAGCTCCCTCAGCAATTCCTCATGCTCCAGATTCTTCCCCAAATCCGTTTCCCATCTCCAATCACGGTGCTGCCACCCACCGCTTCAATCTTCTCCAGCCAGCTCTGGTTGGGTGCAAGCTCAGCCATGAATGCCTGGTGCTTCTGCCACTTGCTGTGGAGACCACGGGCTTCTCCATAGGAGACATCCTGAGCCATCAGCATCTTCTCATCCACCCAGGCATCAAACTGCAGGGAAGGGGTGTCAGTGCTCAGCTGCTGGGGACTCCCCAGGGATCCCCACCACGTTGCATTCCTACCTCACGGCAGCTCTGCAGGAAGGTCTGTAGGTCGTGGTTGTCTTGCATCAAACCCGCTGCCTCCTCCACCTTGTCCATGACGGCTCCATGCCTGGCAGGGAACCGTGGATGTGGAGCATCAGCCCTGCTGCCCGCACACTGCCCACCCGCCTGCCAGCCCTGTGCCGGACTCACCGCTCCTGGAGAGTTCGGCACTTCTCGGAGATCTTCTCGGCAAAGATGTTCTCCTCAGCCACCAGCTTGGTGCCACCAACCACCACCTCCGGGACCTTCTTGGCATTGCTCTCCACACCAGCACGGAAGTTCTGGAAGCGGTGCAGGGCAGCAGCCGAGCCCTCCAGCGTGGAGGGCAGCTCCAAGTGGGACAGCGTGTACTCCTGAGGGGCACAGCAAGGGATCAGCGCACAAACACCCATTTTTGGGGTGCCCGTGAGCCGAGAGACAATCCCAAAGGCCATCGCTTGAGCACCCACCTGCTTGGTGAGGAGGATCTCCGCCTGCTTGGTGTCGCGAAGGAACTCCTGGAAGTTGCGGCACTGGGTGAGGAAGCGCTTCCGAGCCTCTGCCATCTTACCCAGGGCAGCCCAGCCGTCCTTCACGCCGCCCAGGCGCTGCCGCAGCCCCTCGTATTCGGGGTCCGTCTGTCCCCCCAGCACCCGCTCCCCCGCCTCCGCCAAGGCAGCGAAGGCTCCCGCATGCTCCTCGGCGTCGCGCCGGGCCGCTTCGTGCCGCTGCAGCATCTCCTCTGCCTCCGACAGCGACGCCGGCACCTCATCGACGGCCGCCACGGCTTTCTGAGCGCCGAAGAGCCACGCCTGGAAGTCATCCAGGTCCTGCAGGAAACTCCGGAG